AGCTCTCCCCGTGCCCCTGGTCTCAGCATCATGGTTTCCAGCTGCCCTGGCCTCCCCGAACCCCAAATCCTCTCTTCACAACTTGGGGGGATCCCTGGGCTTCGGGTCTCCCTCCCTCTGCTGCAGCTGGAAAACTCCCCAGCAGGCTTCTGGGGCAGGAACACGCTGACTTGTTTCTTTGCTGTGAGCCATCACTGCCTCTGCTGCCTGTTGTCCAGTGACCGAAAACTGTTATTTCACTGTTATTTTGTCTGATATTTTAAGCCATAGCTTAAAACAGGGTGGGAAATCTACCCTTTGGTGGAAGCAAAATTGCTTGACTGCTTATTTTATATTAGTTTTTATATTACTTACTGATCGCTTGGAAGACAAGCTCATAATGGCTGTATTCTTAATCATAGTTCAAGTGTGTCTCTATCCACATGGATGGCAGGTGTTCAGATATGAAATGATCATGGCAGGTCATGGGATGTAATGATTGAGAAAACCTGCAGACATCAAAATGTTTTACAAATATTAATTTATGACATCAGGTCCCATTTGCATTCATAGAGTGACAATTGCCTTGAAGATGAGGGTTTCACATTCATGTTCTTTGTCCCAGTACAAGTGCATCTCTATCCACATGGGGCAGGCAGGGGTCCAGATGGGTGATGCCTGCTGGGAAGGGTACTGCCTTGATCATGAAATTCACTCAATGATCAGATGCCAAGTGACAAAACCATTGGCGGTGGGGATGACTTGTTTAGCACGTGCTTCAGCGAAACGGGGGCTGGCAAGCATGTACCCAGAGCATTGTTTGTGGACCTGGAGTCCACCATGTCGGTAGGTACGTGGACACTTGGGGCAGCTGTCCTGGGAGGGTGGCACAGCCTTGCTAAAGCCCCCCATGTGCTCCTTGGATCCCCCTGCAGAAGGGACGGACGTACAAGTCTATGCCCGTGGTCACGTTAGGTCACACACTGGAAGGTTAGTGCCTCAAATGTCCGTGGGACTCAGGCTCCTAACTGAGAAAAACCTGCTGTGAGGTTGGCCGGCACTGAGATGGGCTGGGGGTGGAGTCACTCGTGGCCTCCTCGGCCCAGTCAGGTGGTTGTGTAGACCCTGTCTGCAGGGCGCCCGGGCACCAGTCCCTCCTTAGTGCTGTGCGCTCCCTCAGGCTGGGGCACAAGTCTTGACCTGCATCTTAGACATAGAAAGCTCAGTATACAACATTCGTTGGGTTCCTCCAGATTAGAAGTCTGAGGTAGTTTCCGAGGAGAGCTGCAAAGAGAGCACCTTTCAGTGGCCACCAGAGAATGACAGAATGTCACTCTGAAGCCTGTGAGACCCAGGCCACATAGGGTGGCCTGATGGGACTGCCCTGCAACAGTCATGCTGGGGACTGTCTAGCCTGTAAGGGATTTTTAAATTCCACCCTTGGCTGTAGCTTTGGGGATGGAAGAAACACGCATGTGTAGAGTTGCCTGTGCGCAGGTGTGAGAGCTTTCCTCCCTTCTTGGGGAACCGGTCATTCTGGCATTTGTCCCGCGAGTTGACTCCTCTCTCCTAGAGCCATCGGGTGCAGCTGCGGTGTATTATACAGAGACGTTATTAGAGTCAGAGGGAATGGAGGGTGGGGCTGAGTCAAAGGTGACTGCAGGCTGGGGTGGGGAGCGGTGGGGACATGCTCCCAGGCCTGGTTCCTGAGGGGCCCTCTTAGGCATCAAAGGCAGACAACGATCCCTGAATATTAAAAACACTCTGGCTTATTGTCTTCAAAGTCAGGGCTCCTCCCACCCCTAAAGCAGGTCACCCGGAGATCAAGGCTACCTGGCAGGGTGGTGTCCAGGGCATTCCATCACCTGGCTGGAGAGCCCACCAGAAGGTCTGCACCCACCAGCTAGGCCTGCTGCCCTCTCTGGCCAGGCACACAGTAAGGGTTTAATCAGTGCTTCCAGAATATGTTACAGACGTAACAACAGAGACCGATGTGCACCATATCCTGGAGGGACGTCTTTAAAACAGTTTACTGAACTTCAACAGGGAGCACTCCACTGAATTTCTTTCCTCAGTGACCCACGTCCCCCCATGACAAGCATTCCCCCTCGCTGCTTCTGGGGTCTTCTGCTTCTCCCTTTTCTATGGGAAAATGCAGAAAGGAGTGAGCTGGTCGGTGACAGTCCCCACAGGCCACCTCAATGGCCAGGGGTCAGGAATCCAGACAGAGTCAAGCCCCTGAGTGGGCTCCAGCCCATGGCCTGGAGCAGCTGCACACCCCGATTCTGTGGGAAACCTAAGGCCAGTGAGTGCCCACAGCCCCAAACCCCTCGTCCTCCTAGGCCACCATGGTCCCCACACTTGGACCACTCTGACAACTCTTTATTTTCTCCACCCCAGAAACTGCCGTTGATGAGGTGGTAGGAAGGTCTCTGTGCACAGATGCTGCAACAGGGGCCTCAGAGATCTGTCTTGTCTGCTGGCCTCAGCCTCTCGGCCACAGCGCATTCCTGGCATGGCCCCTCATCTGCCGCTCCCCTCCCGCTCCTCCCCATCAAACCCCTCCCCAGGCTGCCCTCTACCCCACCAGGCATCTCCCCAAGGCCCCTGTGTCCTGGTAGCCTGGCCACTGGCCGCCCAGCCCAGTAGGACCCAAGGCCCGAGCACTTGAGGCGAAAACGACCCTGCGTAGCCGAGCACTCCACTCTTGCCCCCGTGCTCAGGGCTCCCTCCCCACCTCCTTAAGAGCCCCCTCTGACCTCCCAACCCCTCTGTGCCAGTGCTCCCAGCGCCATTCCCACAGCACCCCTCCTGACTCTCCGCTCTCTCCCTCTTCCTGCACCCCCAGCTCAGGCCCCGCTCCCACCAATGGCCTGGATCCACTGGATCCACGCTCTGCCCTGCCTCCCCGCCTGCCCTTCCTCTCTCAGCCCCCTCCCCACTTCCCGCCTGCAGGGCTGCAGGGCAAGGACACTGCAGCTGGCACCCAGGGCCCCCCACCCTGCTCAACCCTTACTGCTCCAGCAAGGCCAGCTGCACTGGCCTCCTCCCTTCTGTTACTGTCGGTTTGTCTAGCCATCTCCCTCCCTGGACCAAGAGCATGTCCACCTCGCAGTCCCACTGCGCCCCCAGCGCTACAGCCGGCCTGGCACCCAGAGTCCTCAGCGCATGAGCCCCAACACCCCTCGAGGGAGGAGGGCTCTGTTCCCAGTTTCTCCTTCCTTCTGGAAACTCACACATCGATTCCTCAGCTCAGCCGCTAGTCCACCCACCCCTCCCCTGACCTGCCCCTCGGCCCTGCCCCACTCCTCCCTGGCCCAAGCTCCAGGTGGCACCTGGAACTTCCAGGTGGGCGACATGGGGAGGGGCAGGAAGGAGGGTGAAGCCACACCACGTGTGGGATCTCAGCTCTCCCTCACACACCCCTAGAAACGCCTGGAAGGTACTCTCAGCTCAGGAACCAGGCAGAAAAGAAGAGTCACAGTTTGTCCTCCAGACTGCCCATCCAGGTGGCCTATAGCATCTCAGAGGCCGAGGCGTTTCTCATACCCAGGGCTCTGCTCTGCACAGTGCACCACGCTGCCCCTTCCCTGCCCCTCGGTCTGCTGTCCTCCTCTGGGGTGGGGACACCTCCACAGAACCGAGTCTCACCCAGCTGAGTTAGCCTCGGGGACAGGGGTGTTGGTCCCGTTGCAGAAGGACTGCGAGTTGTCTCTAATAAAGCGAGCCCTGAAATCCTGTCCTCAGTCTCTAAGCTGATGGCAGGGATGGCCCGCAGGGTCCTGCCCTTGCCGCTCAAAGCTGCTCTGGCTTTCTGGGGCCACGGCAGTTTCCATGGAAACAAGTGAGTGCACCAACCCCCAGAGATAAAACAATAAATGCAACCTATAGAAGGAGAGAATGGGCAGCCAGAGAACCCAAGAGACCCCGGGGGCCTGGGAGAGAGAGGTGAGTGTGGGGCAGCGGGGCCATGGAGCAGGACCACAGATGCGACAGGCCTGGGGCCTAGGAAAAGGAGGGCCTTGCGGGGGCCACTGTTCTTGTCAGAAAGAGGCCCTGGAGGTCAGAGAGACACAGAGAGAGCAGACAGAGTGTGGGTCAGTGAGGAGGCCAGCACTCGAGTACCTGGGGCCACAAAGGACAGGGGACATGGGGACCCAGGACCCTGGCACTCCCTCCCACAGGGGCCCAGCCTGCCCTCCACCCAAACGTCGGCCCTTCTCGGGCTGTCTGAGAGAGCCCCGGAGCTTCTGGCCAAGGAGCCAGCCCAGAAGGTTCAGCTGCAAGTCAGAGGGTTTGTGATAGCACCTGGGAGCAGAAGGGACAGACACATGGGGAGGAGGCAGTTGGAGCTGCACCATGACACCTCGTCACCAGCACCTGTTTATGCCCCAGTCATGACCCTCGAGAGCGGGGAGGCCCCTCACACCCATGCCCAGTGCTCTGCCACTCTGGCCTCTGCACCCTGAGTGTCCAGGGCAGCCAGGGGATGCCACGCTCACTCCCATCCCACGCCCCACCACCCGAGGAGGGAAGCTCATCTGGCCAGACTCCAGAGCAGGACTTGGGGCGAGTGGGGTAAGATGAGGGGGTGGCAGGAAAGCCTCTGCCTGCCCAGCTCCCTGAGCGCTTCCCTGAGGCCGGACAAACCATGAGCACAGGCACCAAAGCAGTCTTGTTCCCGGGTTTGTGGAACGAAGGCAGGAGCGCAGAGGGGAGGAGAGGCTGGGGCAGCAAAAGTTCCAGATAAGGCCCAGCCTACTCGGCCTCCCTGGGGCACCCACTCTGCATCCACCCGATCCGCAGGTGCTCTCTCCAGGGCGGCAGCCAGGCCGAAGCTGGGGACTGCAGCCCCAGGGGCGAGCCCCTGGCTTGGGCCCAGGGGGTCCTGGGACAAGACCGACGGAAAGGCCTGGCCACTGAGGGCCAAGGCCACCCCGTGCCCGGCGCTGCCCCCTCCCCATCCCTGCCACCTCGCCACCCGGGCCACAGGGGCGGGGAGCACCGGGCCCAACTCTGACCTCTCGTCTCGGGCACGCTCGATGGGGGCAGACACGGCCGCAGGGGGCTAGGGCTCGCTCGGCAGCCTCTGTTCAGCACACGGACGGACGGAGCATCTGAAGGACGGCGAGGGGCGCCACGTGCAGCGTCAGCAGGGCCACCGGGCTCCTGCAGAGACAGACACCCTGCGCAGGGAGACCTCGCCCGGGCCGGGCGGCTCGGCGACAGCGGGCGGGCGTGGCCGCCCCCCTCAAGACCCGACTCTGCCCTGGGCCTCAGGGGCTCCGGCAAGGGCGAGGGGTGGAGAGCAGGGGTGTCGGGGGTCGCCAAGCGTGCAGCCCCGCCCGCGCCCACTCACTGAACACGTCGGGTCGATGGCGCCGTCCGCCGCCTGCGCAGCTCGTCCGGGTCCATCTCCTGGGCGCTCAGCGCCTTCTTCGGCCGCAGCGCGAGTTTCTGCAGGGCCGCCTCCTGTACCTGGGCGCGCCCCCGGCGGGGGCCGGCGCCCAGCGCCTCCATCTGCGCGGCCGCGCGAAGGTGCGCGCCCTGCCGGCCCCCGAGCCCGCCCCGTGCCATCCGCTGGCCCCGCGCTCTCCCCGCCCCCGACCACGGCCTCGCCTGCCGCCAGCCCCGGCCCGCCCCGCCCCGCCCCGCCCCACTATGCGCTCCCACAGCGCTCTCTAGCGTCCGGTTCCCACTAGAGGCCGCGCCTCGCTGGCCCTAATGAACGGCCTCTCCTTATGCGCTCGCGCAGTCCTTGCCGGGACAAGTCGGCCGCCCAGAAGTTTGGCGCGCAGCTGTCCCTCCCTGCGCACGCGCCGCCAGAGGCGGAGACGCAAAACTTGGCCGTCGTTTTGCGCAGGCGCCTGCAGAGGTAGAGGCTCCCATTGGTTGCGGCCCGTTTCCCGCCCAGCCAGGGGACGTGACGCCACGCGCAGCTTGATGACGACATTTGGGCGCTCGGTAACTGAACGGCAGCCTCTGTCCCTGAGGCAAGGGAGGCTGTGGACTCCACACGTGAGTGGCGGGAGCCGTGCGCGGGACCGCCCCGCGTCCTAGCGGCCTCCCCGAACCTCCGCCGGAGCCGTCGCCGTTCCTCCGCGAGCCCCGGGCCGGGCCGGGCCGGCAGCGCTCTCCTGACACCTTCCTGCCGCCTCCCGCGCCTGCCCCGGCGGTGCTCGGTTACCGCGCGGTGAACGGGCCGGAGGAGGGGAGCTCCGATTAAAGTGGAGCCTCGGGTCAGCCAGAGGTGTGGCCCCCGAGCCCTCCTCCCCGTGTGGCTCGATCTCCGAGCCTCAGTTTCCCCATCTGTAGGAGGGGCCGCCGAGGCTCGCCTCACAGGACACCGGTGAGCCGGAGCGGGAGCAGAGCGGCCGCGGGGAGGGGTGGCGCGACCGGCGTCGCTGGGCGCTGCGGCTCTCGGGAGAGCCCGCTGAGGCGGGAGCCGCTCCGGAGGGCGGGGCGGGAGGCGTGCTGGCAGCCGGGCCCAGGCGGAGAGACGCCGCCTCCTCTGGGGCCCGGGTCGCGCCTGCGGCCTTTTCCTCCCGCCGCTGCCCGGGCGGCGCTCCTGAGCGCGGGTGCTCTCCTCTCGTCTCACCTCCGCGCCACCGCCTCGCTCTGGAGCGGGCGCCCTGTTCCCGGGAGCCCTGGGCCCCGGCCTGCGGCGGGGCTTCCGTCTTCCTCAGCGGGTGTTCACAGCAGGGCGCCCGCCTTCGGCGTGGGCACAGCCCTCCGGAGGACCCCGCCTCCGGGCTGCTTGTCCGGGCCTGGGTCTTCCGTGTGGGGCCGGGGCGGAGGCGGGCGTCTGCGGAGCTGGTCCCACTATCCTGACGGCTCCTGCAGAGGCTCCCTGGGCGCGCTGTCCCCCCGAGCCTCCGTTCAGCCGAGGCGACACGGAGGCCATGGCCGCCTGTCCCCTGAGAGACCGCGAGCAGGTCTGTGTGTGTGGCTCCCGGCCCTGCCCGTTACCCGCCGGCCAGGGCGAGGGGCTCGGCTTCTCTCCGTCTCCGGCTGCTCGTCTGTGCGGCGCCAGGCCTGGTGTGAGGCCGGGCTTTCTGTTCTCGCTTAAAGAAGCCAGAGGCTTACAGCCCCTGCGCTCGCTGCCTCCCAGCCACGCGGCGTCCGCCTCTCCTGTGCCCGGAGGCCCTGGGGGAGACTCTGCTTCCGTGCCCGTCCAGGCGGCAGCAGCTCCCTGGGGCTGTGGGACGGGGGCTGCGTCTCCCGCCTGTCCTCCGCGGCTGCTCTGCAGCGGCCCCCCGACTGGAGGCTCTCGCGGTGTCTACAGAGTCCCGTTCCCTCAGTGCCTAGCGGGGCAGGGGCGCTGGGGGCTGTCTGTAGAGGTCTGCCTGCCCCCCAGGGTTGAGTGAGAAGTGCTGGGGAGCCCTTCCACCAGCCTGGCTCCTGGCAGGGCTGTGCCAGCGCCACCCAGCGTTGGCGAGGACCCCCCTCGAGCTTGGTGAGGCTGGCGCTGTGCACGCGGGAGAGGCGCCTTCCGTGGGACGCGGGCCTGGCCTGCAGCGGGTGGTCACCAGCGTGTCCCTGTGTTACACTGTGAGGCGGGCAGCGTTCTGCGGAGGCAGGTGCTGAGGTTTCCTCTTGCTTCCACAGTGCTTTCCTGAGACGGCGGTTTCCACCTCCACGGGAGCTGTCATGGCATTCCCTCACCTGCAGCAGCCCAGCTTCCTACTGGTGAGTGTGGCATGAGGACATTCGTGTAGCCGAGGGACTGGAGCCTGCTTTCCACAGGCTGGAAGAACTCTCCCGTGGGTGTTCTGGGGCGTGTGATGGGAGTAACACTGGACTGGCTTAGAATCCTTAGGTTTGACTCTGCCTCCTGTTGGTGCAGGACCTTGGGGTTCCTCAACCGCTAAGCCCTGGTTTTCTCATCTACAAGACGAATTGACTCAAACGCCGTTTTCTTACTTCCCAGGGTGTGGGGAAGAGCAGTGAAAAGGATGTAGGTCCGAATTGTCACGTCTCGTAATTCCTTACACAAAAGTGAGGTGTTTTAATAATCATGACTGTTGTCAGTGAAAAATGGAGGGACACAGCTATGCTGGGGGCCACCAGAACTGTACTTAAGCATTAAGCATAATCCTGAGAAGTTAGTGTGAGGTGGATGTCAGTGGCGAAAGTTTCTAATTTCACTTCCTGGAAGATGCTTTCGGTAAACTTTTACTTGGGACGTTCTTCCTCAGTGCACCCTCTGGAGCCAACAGATCTGCCCCATGGCCTGAACAGCCCAGGTCTCCGCCTCTGCCTGAGCTCTGTGGACTCTGCCCCCATTAGCAAGTGGACAAACCCTCTTGGTTAAAATTCTGGCATTTCCTTCGGATGTTTATCCATTTGCGTGGAGGCTTCTTTTCTTCGTGGAGTCAGGACACATAGTGCTTTCCTGCGCCCCGTGACCTCGGGTATATGTCCTCAGTCCTTGTCCTCGATGTTCTCTCTCCATCACCTTCGTGATTAGTGTCGGCACTTGGCTGAAACTATCTGCGGTTTTTAGCCTGCCTTATTTCTTTTTTTCTTTTGCTGAGGAACGTTCGCCCTAAGCTATTATCTGTTGCCAATCTTCCTCTTTTTGCTTGAGGAAGCTTTACCCCAGGCTAATACCTGTGCCAGTCTTTCTCTACTTTATATGTGGGTCACTGCCACAGTACAGCTGCCAATGAGTGGTGTAGGTCCTGGGAACCGAACCTGGGCCACCAAAGCGGAGCGTGCCAAACTTAACCACTAGGCTATGGTGCAAGCCCTTGCCTTATTTCTTAAGGTGATGAATTTAGTAGGTTCATTATCTACTGAGTAGAGGACATCTTGGTTAAGAGGACTTAAATGACAACAAATGACACCGTCATACCATTGGTCATTCTCACTGGTGATCACAGTGGGGTGAATCAAGAGTGGTCAGTCATGGGAAATCTCCAGTTCATGTGTGCACACTGGGTGAGTGCTCTGTGGTCTTTGAGGGGTGCCCTACACAATAGGGGTCCTCTCCTGCTGTGGGGTTGACCCTGGAGCTGACCCCTTGCTTTCGGATCAGATGGAAGTCACTTTTGTTATGCTAATGTGCCGTTCTCTCAGGTAACTGGAGGTGCCTGAAGGAGGGTGCTGGGAAGCAAGCCTGAGAATCACTGGTCTAGAGAGCATAGGACCTTGCCTCTCTTCTAGTAGCATCCTTTAGGCCACTGCCACATACATGACCTGATGGATGAGGTGTTGGAGAATCAGGCCAGTGGTGTGTGTCTGAGTCCTGCCCAGCATTTGGATTTCTCTTTTGACTTGAGCCAGAATATCAGCAAAAGCTGCAAGATGAATATGCTCCTGATTTTTTTGATTTGTTCTGTCTTCTAGGCTAGCCTGAAAGCTGACTCTGTAAATAAACCCTTTGCTCAGCGCTGCCAAGACTTGGTTAAAGTCATTGAAGATTTTCCAGCAAAGGTACAGCTCTGCTAGTGTCTCTGGGATGTGTCTCATACATCCTTAAGAAACGTTATTACTGATCCTCACCTCTGAGCACTGGCCTATGGAGGCCTGACCTGGTATTGTGACTGTCACGTTTATAGACACATTTAAACATGTGAACACGTAAACCAGGGGTCCTCAACTGTGGATGCTTGTGTCCCATGTGGGATACTTGGCGATGTCTGGAGACATTTTTAGTTGTCAGATGCATATAGTGCTACTAGTATTGAGTAGGTGGGAGCTAGGCATGCCGGTAACCATCTCACAGTGCACAGGACAGCCCCCACAACAAAGAAGTGTCCAACTCAAAATGTCAGCAGTGCCAAGGTTGGAAACCCTGATGTAAATACTGAAAATGTATATTTACGTCACATGTGGAATTGTCAAATAGTAAGGGTAAGTAAGTGCAAGAAGTTGGCCTGGACAAGGAGTTACTACCAAATGACAGTAAGTCATAGTTTCAAGGGCTCACTCTGAGACAGGAGGTTGAGGCCCTTTTTAATAAAACTCTCTTCAGATCAGAAATTTCTGACATTTTTTTAAAAACCTTTTAATCATAGACTGACTTCATTAATTGGCCGACACGTGAAGCAGTCTTGCTTGCTATGCCACGCAACCACAGCGAAAGAATCCAAAGCTGCTCCTCCTGTTGGCACTGTTGTGCCAGGGTTCCTGTGGGTCTCTGAACCAGGGAGTGACATCCTCAGAGAACTGGGCCCGAGAGGGAGGTGGGCAGCATGTGGTGCAGGACTAGAGCTGGGCGGGGAGGCCCACATGGCACACAGCCCGTCCGTGGGCACTGGTCCTCGGCGAGCCTGCCCAAAGCCTCACTGGCACGCTGTTTCAGGAGCTGCAGACCATCTTCCCATGGCTGGTAGAGAGCATCTTCGGCAGCTTGGATGGCGTCCTCGTTGGCTGGAACCTCCGCTGCTTACAAGGACGTGTGAGCCCTGTAGAGTACAGCATTGCGATGGAATTTCTAGACCCTGGGTAAGTAGGTTTGTCACCTGAGGGGCTGGGTGTTTTCCTGTTGTGACCCCCCCCCCTTTTTTTTTTTGAGGAAGATTAGCCCTGAGCTAACATCTGCAGCCAATCCTCCTCTTTTTGCTGAGGAAGACTGGCCCTGAGCTGACGTCCATGCCCATCCTTC